GTGAATTCTGATACTACCACCTTATCGTGTTCTCAACGTTTGTAATCCAGAAATATCTGCATAGGAAACCCTAATGTCTAAAACTACCAGTCATACCAGTAACCGGTATCGTTGTATTTTAGGAAACCCGGTTAGGAAAACGTGTACCTAAACTGAGTACTGTATTTGCAGTAAAACTGCTCATTGTGACGAGAATCATAAATGGGCAGTTGTTTCCTACTGATCAGAAGCAGGCACGATTCTTTTTGTCCCAGCCGAATGAAGAAATTCGGATGACCATGATGGAAGTGAAAAGCTCACTCCGCGGAAACCTTCAAAACACTATTATCAACGAATCCCGAGTACAACGAGACGGGTTACACAAAACACATGTGAGATGCTTCAGAAACTTACATGATGAAGAAGGATAGTGACATCACGAAACAAAATAAGATTATCCGAGAGTGGATAATGCAAGTATATACTAGTGCACCAGGGAAGATGAAACCAAAGATGTGTTATGAATTTTGTATGTTTTTGGGTAGGAAAAGCAGAGACTAAAGGGATGAAAAACGGGATACAGGATACTGTGGGTTTTTTGCCCAGTTTAATCGACGATTATCCCCTAATCTGAACGCCACCTTGTGCTGTTTCCTATCCTTTAGTAATTTTGTGTACATTATCTTGCTAATAGTTCATTTTTCTGCTTTGCAGATCGCATTTTTTGTTTAAAGTTTCTATCAAGCTCCTACTTGTTGTCTTACGCGATAGATGGCAAAGGTTTACCTGAATAAACGTATTTTTATGACATTTTCTATTCCATCCTGATAACAGATCTGTAGCTATATGTTATAAATCTCTTAGATATGCAGTATGTTTGGCTAGACATGCTGTCCATGCATGTACATAGTAAAACATGTGGCAGAAGGTAGTCTCTTTGCTCGGTTAATTGAGAGTTCGAGGTCTCAGACAAGCCACTGTTNCTGAGCCCAAAGACGAGTCCCCATTTTATTTAATCTTTTTTTTCCGTGCTGCAGAGCGATCCCCAAGTTCGTTTGACTTTCAGACATCCTGTCACAAAACCCTACCTTATCGTCCACACTAGCCCTGTTGGTAATTATTGGACATGAATGTATGCTGAATAGTTTATTATATCTAACGTATTGTTTACTACTTACATTTCATACTTGCAAACACTCCGCCACCTTGATACCGTCAGGGGATATGAATCATAAATTGTGCCGAAATCGTGGTTTACCATACAATAATGTGTAAAATACTGTAGCACACAAGGCTATATTCTCTAGCGATTGCATCTGGGCCGGAACTAAACTTTCTTCCAATTGTGGTCCTAAAACACAGGGTTTAGTATTGAACTTTATGCCGCAGGCTCTCTCCTACACAACTTAATCCAATAAATTCCCATCTTTAATTTAACAGTGTCGAAGTGGGTGTAACACGGTCCATGGATTGTTGAAAGTTCAGGTTGAGCAACCTCACTTCGCGATCTCCCTATATAAACAGCTTTTCATCTTATTTGGAAACAACGGTAAGTTTGTCAGACACGCACTCATCTTCAAAAGGCCCACAGTTGAGCCTACATCAAGAGTTACTTTCAAAACAAGGAGGAACACATATTCTCTGACTATTCATTCTCAGATTTAACTATTTCGCTTTCCAAACATATCATTCAATTTGCTGATATTTAATTCTGAATAGCAATCACTGAACAACATTCGCAATAGATTATAGTTCACATTTTCCTTTCCCGGTCATTTGCACCGCGTACTGCGTATCCGAAAACGTTTTACTCATCCCTCGTTTCTGACGCATAACTGAGTTATACATCTGAGTTGGCAAGCGACGAAGTGCGTTTTATGACACCACATGGAAAGGAGTCAGTTGCACCGCGTACGACGAGAAGCACATTTTCCGGGGTTATATCAACTTAGTCGAGGCGTCATATAAATCTGTTTTGTTCCTGCCCATGGTAATCAGTTGTATTATCACCATAAACAAGTTGATCAATTTAGGCTTTCTGATACTGAGAACGGGGTTCGAAGCATTTCGTGTCTACATCGACAGTGCATTCATTACCTGGCTTGAACAACTGCGTTGAATACTCTAAGCGGCTATTCGTAAATGGGCAGAGAACTCAACTGAATGCCGCATTCAGGTCTGTCTGATAAACTGGTGTCCAGCTGTAGCACTCCAAATGTCGCACAACTGTCTGCGTTTTAATTGCCCATTATATACATCGTATGAAAGTCATTGAAAAATGCAGGATTTGTTCATCAGAACGATAATGACAGCAAAAGAAAGGTAAATTATGTGATTTTCTTCAGCAATTCACCTGGTTCAATATGTACTTTGGCTGTACACAACCAGTAATCCGTCAGAAAACATGTCCATAAGACGCGTTGTGTTTGCCCGCGGTTTCCGGTGGCCCCGGTTATAATAATAACAATTATTATTATTATAAAAATAAAACCGTTAAACAAAAAGGATTCATTTTTAGCTATT